CAGATAAATTTTTGTAATTTAAGCGGGTCTTTATTTTTAAGTCATACACCTTTAGTATTACTGTAATACTTAACTATTATTAAATTGATTGTACACTTGACAGGTAAAAGTGGTACAACAACATTCGGTTTATAGAGCTCGTCAAGGTGTATTTGGCCGACCTATGGCTATCGCTGCAGCAAAGACGATGCCTGGCCACAAGTGGTGGATGTCATTCGGTGCACAAACACCTGAATTACAAAAAATTGCTGTCAGAGTATTGTCACAGGTCACATCAGCTGGGTCTTGTGAACGTAACTGGTCAACATTTGACTTTATTCACACAAAAAAACGCAACAGACTTGCATGCAAGACGGTTGAGAAGATTGTTAATGTACATTGCAACTTACAGCTAGTAACAAAAATTGAAGATATTAACTATATTGACGAGTATATCGATTGGTCATCTGATGCTGACAGTGATGACAATGTGGACTGATTACTGACATATTAATAACTGTAAGTCTATAATGTTTTCTAAGTGCTATGAAAAATCTTCAAGAAAATACTTGATAAATGTTTATGTATATATGTACATGTGTATTTGTTTTTATATAAAAAAGTTTCAAGAAAAAAAACTCAAATTTTTTATTAAGTTGTTATTATTATAATTTTTTGTTAAGATGGTAACTGTGTCTCAATTATTTCTGGAACATCATTTGATTTAATTTATATTTTCTAAACATTGTTGCCTTAGTACCATAAAATATTATATAAAATAATTTTTTGCGGTCCTTTGTAATATTTTTGTTTAGTCATTTGCTTTTAAATATGATTTGTATTCTTTTTTTAACTTTATTTGTTTTTCTCCTTTACAATTCACTTGAACGACAAAATGTTTTTCATCTTCTCTGTCATTACATGGTACAACCAAGTCATCTCCCTCAAAATTTCAGCTTTTTTACATGTTTTCATTTATTCAAATTTTAATTTTGTAGTTCACCATTTCATTTTGTCTTCCATGTTGTAATATTCTCTGTGTGTGACGGATTGATTTAGAAAATAAAATAATTTAATGTTGAGCTGAGGCAGTCGCATTTCGAACTTTTATGAACTTTTTTGAACTTTATTTATCTTTGAACTTTATCGAACTTTTACGAACTTTTAAATTTTTCTTTCGAACTTCACAACTATGGAGCGGAGCTGGAGCAAAAAAATTTAGTGCTCCATGCTTCCATAATAAAAAAAATTTTACATTAAAAAATATTAAAATATTAATTTATGAAATTGAATATTTTGTAAGTCAATTAAAAAAATTTATCTTGGCAACGGCTTCCTTAACTGTTCCAATAAAAGAGCGGAGCAAAATTTTTTATGCTGGAGCTGAGCAACTCAAAAAAGTGCTTGCTCCAAAGTCCTGGTTGTAAGAAAAATTGCGAGCTTTTAGATATATATTTAAATAATGGTTTTTTATAATAATTTAATGTTAAAGCATTTTAAAAGATTTAACTAAATTTTTTGTTTAATATTGCGAAATGTTTGTACTGTTTTAAAAACTTTCACGTTTTAAATAGACACTCCTGTCGTTGTAAACAACGACAGGAGTGTCTATAAATATATTACCTTGTTGTTGCGGAAAACACTTCAAAGGTAGAAAAGGTCTGATAATACATCACAGATCATGTAACACGTTCAAGTCTTGTCAAACACGCTAGATTAACAAAGTGATGCAGTCAACAAACCGAAAACCTATCAACACAGTCTACCTTGTCAGCAACATCGTATCCTCTCTCAGGTATCAAGCTGCCAAAAAACGAATAATTATGGGCAGA